TATAAGAAGGAACAAACAGTTAGATATGGGGAATTATTAGATGAAAAGGGTGAACTTAAATCGATACAAAATCTAGAGGAACAAGGTATAAAGATGAATTGGTTTTCATATGTGCAAATACACTCAAGGTATGATGAAGATTCCAAAACAGAGGGATTTTATGATAAACAGACTGATTTAGATAAGATTTTGACAGGTACTGATGAAAAGGTGATTAAAAAACTATATGGTTATTTATTGGGAATTAAGCTAGAGGAAGAACAAGTTAAAGAAACTATGATTGCTTGGGGGAGGAATTTTGGATATGGGATTGATTTAGAGAAATGGCAGAAACTATGGTCACAAAATTATAAAATGACAATGTCTACAGCTTATAAAGAAAATCTGTATAAGATGTTTTACAGGTGGCATTTTCCCCCGACAAGGATAGCAAGAATGTTCAAGAATAAATCTGAAAAATGCTGGAAATGTCATCAGATACCTGGCTCATACTACCATATGTGGTGGACTTGTGAGGATGCTAGAAAATACTGGACTAAAATCCGCATGTGGTTGGAAAAAATGACAAAGAAACACATAGATTTGAGACCGGAGTTCTTTTTACTGGGAATCGTACCAGATTTATACAGTAAAGACTTGAAATATCTGATTGTAAATGTATTAACTGCGGCTAGGATTGTATTTGCTAAAAATTGGAAAAATGAGAAAATTCCATTGCAGGAAGAAATTATTAAGAAAATATTGGAATGTGCTGAGATGAGTAGATTGACATTTGAAATTATAGAGCAAGAAGATAAACAATTTTATAAAATTTGGGACCTTTTCTATCAATGGTTGGATGATAAAATACAATAATAGAATATTTAGAATGTTAGATAATAAGGAATATCTTTGTTTTTTCTTTTTCTTTTGCTATTTGACATCATATCTATAAAGTGCTCTTTTAGGATAGAATTGGTATGATTATATGATTTGTTATAGAATAAATTACCTAAATTATAGTTATCTCATAAAGCATGAATGAATAAAAGTATAGTCAAATGATTTTTTAAATAATGATATGAGGATATATAAGTTTGGATTGATAATAATAGTTATTATGTAACATAACTGTAATTGAGACTACGAAATGAATGCACAAAACTGATGAACCAACCGACACACTGTTTGTATATAAGTACGGAAGAGAGCTGATGCTTTTATGTTTTGTTTGTTTTGTTTGTTTTGTTTGTTTGTAAAAAAAACCAATAAAATTGTTTTTTAAAAACAAATACGGAAAGGAATTACAGCCAGCTGGACAAGGAGGCCCTGGCAATCGTCGCGGCCATAAAGAAGTTCCACGAGTACCTTTACGGCAGGACCTTCTCCATCATCACAGACCACAAACCGCTGCTCGGAATCTTGGCAGGGGACAGGGCAACCCCGAACATCCTATCCCCGAGGATGACAAGGTGGTCCGAATTCCTCGCCGCCTACAATTAACGGCTAGACCATCGCCCCGGTAAGTCAATCTCGCACGCAAATGCATTGAGCCGCATCCCGTTACCCGACCTGGACGCCGACCCAGCACCCGTCATGTCCACCCTGAGTATAGAGACCTTACCCAACCTCCCCCTAATCGTGTCAGACATTGCCCAGGAAACCATTGCACAGGAAACAAATGTCTGGCGCAGGTTTTAAAATGGGTGGAGAAAGGGTGGCCTGAAAAGGACGACGATGAACAATTCAGAACCTTCCGGAGCCGCCAAACAGAACTCTTCACACAAAAGGGCTGTTTACTGTGGGGAGACAGAGTCATAATCCCGGAAAAACTACAGAAAAGAGTCTTGGACATGCTGCACGAAGGGCACCCGGGCATCGTTAGAAAAAAGCCCTGGCCAGAAGTCACGTCTAGTGACTTCAGAGGATGGACAAAGAAATCGAAGCCTGGGTGGCATCGTGCAAACAATGCCAAGAATCCAGACTGAGCCCTCCCGCCGCCCCAATCCTAGAATGGGAAACCCCCAGAGGACCAGGGTCCAGGATTCACATAGATTTCGCTGGACCCACCAGAGGATGGTAGACGCTTACTCCAACTGGCTGGAGGTAAGCAACATGAGAACAACCACCACAGAAGCCATCATCAAGGAACTCAACGAATTATTCGCAACCCACGGCCTCCCAGATGTAATTGTATTGGACAACGGGCCCCAGTTCACCGCGCTATCCTTCGAAAGATTCCTGGCGAAACAGGGGATTCAGCACGCGTTGACAGCACCGGCTCACCCGGCGGCGAATGGAAGAGCGGAAAAAATGGTCCAATTTACAAAAAAGACAATTCAAAAAATCAAAACCGGGGAAATACAGGACAAGATCAACAGAATGCTATTCATACAACACATAAACCCAAACACAACAACGAACAAAAGCCCGGCAGAGCTGCTCATGGGAAGAAAGCTACGATCACCACTCGACCGGCTGCACCCCACATACAACCCAGAAACCCCCCCGACTCCTCCAGCAAGCACCGGACATTCACACCAGGCGACGCGGTATATGCGAAGAACTTCACAGGGGACCCACTCTGGATACCGGCAACGATAACCCAGGTAACGGGTCCCTGCTCGTACCAGCTACTAACAAATGATGGACGAGCATGGAAATGACACATCGATCAGCTAAGATCGAGAACCACCACGGGAAATACAACCGACATGCAATCACACAGAAACAGAGAACCAGGAGCAGAAGGGGAACACCAAAAGCCCATCAAAAAAGAAACCAGGAATACTCACCAACCGAAGCACCAGGAGACGACCCGCTCGAAGCCTCGCCTGGAAGAAACAGCCAAGCCAGCTCGACCAGCCCGGGAAGCCCGAGTGGGAGCAGCGAAGCCGGCAGCTCAACCAGCATGGGTAGACCAGGAGGGAGCTGCGGCGAGAGGCCCGCCCCTTCCAGGCGGTTCCATCGACGAGGCGGAGAGCGACACAGACCCCGACCGAACCGGCCGGTGGCCAAGAGACAACTAACCTGCGCAGGTCCAATAGGCAAGTACAGAGCCCCACCTACTTACGGGATTACGTCACGTAGGACCGAACCAAGAGGGGAGGGGTGTTCTGTATGGACATTTGCATTCTTGGAAACCTGCACTCCGGATTGGCTAAACGCACAGCGACTGGATTGGTCGAGTGCGCGGCACTGATTGGTTGTTACGAAGCAACCGCGATTGGCCGAGCCGATCGCGGGTGATTCGAACGGCTGTCATTGGCCGCGGTGCCCGGCACCAGTTCAATATAAGCCGCCACATACTCAGCCAGCGGCAGATTCAAACCTGAAATAAAAAGAGCTTAAAACCAGTCACTGCCTCGCATCTCTTTGTGATCGATCGGCTGATACAACAAACCCAACAACCCAGTCAGTCAGATTGTTCCAAGTAACAATCTCCAAACAAAAAGACTCCAAGAATATCATCTTCCCAAAGATCCAATGTTTTATAAATGTCATATTAGCACATCTGGGGAAAACCCGAATCTGAGAGTTCCGGGTTTTCCCTAGCCCAAAAGAAAAGCCAAAATCCAACCCATGCACCCAATCATCCATCAAGTGGTCTAATCATTACTTCGTTCCAACTGGATTAATCACTTTCACTAAAGGGAAAGGTCTTAAAAATTTCAGTCCTAATTTTTTACTAGGTAATTTTAGCCTAATGTATTTCATTGATAGATAAACTTGGTCCACCCGAAAAGGAGGTTGGATAGATCAATGTTTATTGGCTTGTTTTTATATGCTTCTGCGGCTTCCGTTAGCGCTTTCTTTATGTTTTCCCAATCCTTCTTTAATGACTCCATCTATTTGGCTAATGACATGGAGTGGGTTCCCGTAGTAGTTCTGGCATGGAACAAATTCCATGCTACGGTGCACTGCATTGTTATAAGCCACTTCCGCAAATGACAGTAAATCTGCCCAATTTTCTTGTAGGTAATCTACATAACATCTGATGTATTGTTCCACCATGGCATTCGTATGTTCCATGGCCACGGCCCCATTCGTACTTGATGGAAAGCTAAGTCCTTGGGAAGATCCAATGGACTTCAGGAACTCCCTCCAGAACTTGGCGGTGAACTGGGCCTCTCTGTTTGAAATTATATGTGCTGCCTATATATTTGCTTAATAAACATCTTGACTAGCTTTTTGGTTGAAGCTAGTCCAGAACAATAATCTTACACTTAAAACAAAAAAAAAACTAAATAAATTATAATTGACTTCAGGAGGAAGAGAGATGTACATCTACCATTGTACATAAATGGTGAGGAGGTGGAGAGGGTTGGTAGTTTTAAATTTCGGGGCACTTATATCTTGGAGGATCTCGCATGGACTATGAATGCTAACATGCTTGTGAAGAAGGCACAGAAGAGGTTGTATTTCCTGAGAATACTCAGTAAGATAAATCTATCTCAGCACCTATTTCTGTCCTACTACAGCACCATTGAGAGTGTCCTGACATATGGCATTCTTGCATTGTATGGAAGCAGATCTGTAGTGGATAAAAAAGCTCTACAGAGAATCATTAAAATTGCCCAGAATATCATCAGGTTCCAGCTCCCAGCCCTGGATGATCTTCGCATCTTGCTGTTGAGGAAGTTGCACAACATTCTCAAAGACTCTTCCCATCCTGCTCACAATTTTTGTGAACTGTTGCCACAGAAGATACAGCGCAATTAAAACTCGGATCATATGTTTTCTGAAGAGTTTAATCCCAGAGCAATATATTGCACTTAACAATAAACTTAAAGACCACCATTAGTGTGCAGTTGCACAGTATTACTTTGTCTGTGGTGTGGATGCTTGTTTGTATTAGGGGTATAGAATTTTTGGTGGGTGGGGGTGTGTTTGGGGATTGTCATGTGTGTGTGCATGTTGTCTGGTGCTATGTGAATTTCATTGTATGTGTATACTGTGTACGCTGACAATAAAGTATGTGTATACGTACAATGACAATAAAGTATTATTATTATTACTACTACTATTATTATCACTATTATTATTATTACTATTATTATTACTATCAGTAATAGTAGTAATAGTAGTAGTAGTAGTGAAATGGGCTTGCTTGGAAAATAAATTAATGATAGTGCAAATCACATTGTGCCCCCAACTTTCAGGAAGTTCCACTAGAAAATTCATGGCAACTCTTCCCAAGGGGAGACAGGGTTTGGCCACTTGTTGGAGGAGACAGGGTGGTTTCCCTGGTTTCAATTTCATAGTGGCACAAATAGCACAACTTTTTACATAGTCCTCTACATCTGCTTTCATTTTCGGCCACCAAAACTGCCTCTGAGCCAAGTGGAGGGTCTTTAGGAATCCAAAGTGGCCAGTCAGACGAGAATCATGACGTCACTATAATACTATTAGTCTCAAACTGTTGGGTACGTAGAGCTTGGATTTTTTCCATGCCAATCCCTTTCTCATGGTTAGAATATCCTAGTTTTCCATGAACCACAGGTCAGTTAGTAGTGCCGTCTTAAGGTCCATAATCAGCTTTTCAATAGGGGTAGCCTGGCATCTGGCCTGGCTCCTAGTGGTGGTTTGAGCTGCACTTTGTGTGTTAGGGACTATGCCATGGACGATTTCCTCTCACCGGCTGTCATTTTGGGGTTTCCTTGACAGGGCATCAGCCAACAGGTTCTTCCCCCCGGGATGTATTTGAGTTGGAAATTGAAATGTTTGAAGTCTTGAGCCCAGCTTAGGGGAAAGTTTCAGGGTGTATTCAGGACTTCAAGATTTTTGTGATCAGTACAGACTTCGAAAGGCACCTTAGTCCCTTCCAGAAAATGTCTCCATGACAGGAGAGCCCACTGGACTGCTAATGCCTCCTTCTCCCAAACTGCCCAGTGCCATTCTGTGTCAGTCAATTTTTAGACACATAGCAGGGGTGGGATTCAGTTTTTTAAAATATTTTTATTAAGTTTCTTTCATCATAAAGTATCTTAATTCCAACAGCATTCTTGGCATCCATACAAGTTCTTAGATTAAGTATCATAATACATTACATTATGTTTAACTAATATTAAATAATTTCCACTAATTGCTATCCTTATATCTTTATATAATTTACATATTTACATTTTACTCTCATAAGGATTGTTTAAATTAGATTTCTTGTCTTCCTTCTTAGTTCTGTTTGTTAGCCATTTGTACCAGTTGTTCCAGATTAAAAAGAATTCTGAGTCATCTTTTTCTTTCAGTCTCAATGTAAACATGTTCATCTCAGCATTTCCATTATTTCATGTATTATCAATTCTTCGTTGGGAATATTTGGTGTTTTCCATACCTGCACAAAGGCTATTCTGGCGGCTGTTGTAATATATAGCAATAAATATTTTACCTCTTTTGGTAATTTATACTTGATGATTCCTAGAAGGAAGGTTTCCAGTCTGAGCTCAATCCGGTACCCAGTAATCTCTTATAACCAACTTTTGATTTAGATCTAATATGTCCTGATCTCAGGGCATAACCACCACATGTGGTAAAATGTACCGCCAACTTTTTTACATTTCCAACATTTAGGGCTTATGTTGGGGTAGATTTTGCCAATCTCGTTGGAGCTAAATATCATCTATAAAACATTTTGTACATATTTTATTTGTATGCTGCGGATACTGTTAACTTATAATTTACGTTCCATATTTTCTCCTATTCCTCTAATTCTATAATATGTCCAAAATTCTGTGCCCATGCAATCATTGTACCCTTAACTGCTTCCTCTTCCATTTTGAAATCTAATAGATATTTATATATTTTAGTTATAAGTTTTTGTTCCTATCCCATTAATATTTTATCTAATTGGTTCTGCCCTTTGTCAAAACCAAAATCTTTTAGGTCTTTTTAATATTTATTTTGGATTTGCAAATATGGCCACCAATCAATTATAATTCCATTTTCTTTTAGTTCTTGATTTGATTTTAATTTCCCTTGACTATCTAATAATTCTTCATAACTTAACATTTTCCTTAAGTTTAATCTATTTGGATGAATTATAGCTTCCATGGTTGACAGCCATCGTGGGATTTCCACATAGTACTTACCTTTAATTTTTTTCCAGGTTGTGATCAATGAGTCTCTTATTAAATGCTGATTAAAATAGGTATGCATTTTGCTTTTGTTTCCCCACAAAAATGCATGCCAACCTATCAGGAGATCATGTCCTCCTTCTAATATTAATATCCTCTTATCTTTTAATTTAATCCAATCCTTAATCCAACTCAGCACCACTGCCTGATAGTAGAGCTCACATTCTGGTAGTTCAAAACTGCCTCTGCTCCTATTGTTTTGTAATAGTTTCATCTTAATACATGGCCTTTTGCCCAACCAGGCAAATTTAGATGTCATTTTATTTAATTCTACAATTAAGTTAGTAGAATTTATTTAATTCTACTAACTTAATTGGGATCATTTGAAATAAATATATTAATTTTGGTAATGTATTCATTTTCAACATTGCTATTCTTCCTAATAGAGATAGCTTCAATTTGGTCCATAATTCCAATTCTTTCCTAATTTGTTTAATCAATTTAATATCATTGTCCTATTTTAATTATGAACATCTGGGTGATAACCAAATTCCCAGGTATTTCACCTTTTTTACTATTTGCAGTCCCATTATATTTTCTAATTCTACTTCTGTTTTGTTATACAATTTCATCTTAGTTTTGTTTTTGTTTATTTTAAGACCCGCCACTTCCCAAAATTTTTCTATTTGTTGCAACAATATTGGTCCCAAATTCATTGGATCTTCTACAATAAATACCAAATCATTGGCAAATGCCTGAACTTTATATTCCTCATTTCTAATTTTAATTCCTTGAATCTCTGGGTTTTGTCTGGTTGCAGCTAGCAACACTTCTAAAGACAAGATAAATAGCACAGGCGATAGTGGACACCCTTGTCTCACTCTTTTTGCAATTTTGAAGTCTTCTGTGCAATCTCCATTTAGTAGTACACTTGCTTTCTGATTTGAGTACATTTCTTGTAATGTTTTTTTCTATATTAGTACCAAAATTTAGCTTTTTAATTTGATATAGCATGAATTTCCAATTAAGATTGTCAAATGCTTTTTGAGCATCTAGGAAGATTAAAGCTGCCTGTTTTTCTGGGTGAGCTTCATAATATTCAGTCAAATTTAGTATTGCTCTAATATTGTTTTAATTTGTCTATTTGGCAGGAATGTATGAGTTCACTCAGAATTGGTTTCATTCTTTCTGCCAATATTGTCATAAATATCTTATGGTCTGTATTTAGCAACGAGATTGGCCTATAGTTCGCAATTAATTGTTGATCGGTACAATCTTTTGCGATTAAAGAGTTGTATGTCTTGGACCAGGACCTTGGAAGTCTAGCTTGTATTAATGCCTCATTGTACAATTCCAGTAGTATTGGTTCAAATATTTCAGATAGGTTTTTATATAATTCACAGGGTAAACCATCCAGACCTAGTGTTTTATGATTTTTTTTGTTTTTGTATTGCCTTTTGTAACTCTATTAATGTTATTTCTTTGTTAAGTGTTTGTCTGTTTTCTTCAGAGATTGAGCTCCAAATAGTATCTAATGTTTTCTTCCATAACCTCTTGTTTATAAAGCTCGCCAAAATACCTTTGTGCAATTCTCTTTTTCTCCTCCATCTGATAATACACTGTCCCTTCCACATCTTTAAGTTGCTGAATCTTTTCTCTTTTTCTCTTTTTAATTTATGGGACAACCACCTTCCTGGTTTGTTTGCTGATTCAAAATAATTGTGCTTAAGAGTTTTTAAGTTACGTGCATTTTGCTCAATGTCTATCAAATTTAGTTCGTGTCTAATTATCCCTATTTCTTTCTTAGCTTCCATATTTTTTGGATCTTTTTGGAGCTCATATTCAATTTTTAAAATTCTTTCTTGTAATTCATTCTGTTTCTTCCATTTTTCTTTATTTTTCTTAGCTACATAAGCTATTGATATACCTCTCACGAAGGCCTTTGTGGTGTCCCATAAATTTTGTAAGGTGGTATGTTGTTTTAGATTAACCTTAAAAATATTCCTCATTCATCTTTAATTCTTTGAATGTATTTTTTTTCTTTTGTTATTTGTGGGTGTAGTATCCATCTCCTTTTCTTTTTGTTCTGTCCTTTCCATATAATTTTTACTGGGCTATGATCGGCCCATACATTGGGCATTATTTCAACTTCACTAATATCTTTCTCAATTGTCCCACTCGCCCACACCATATCAATTGTAGACCAAGATTTTTGTGGACTAGAACAGAATGTAAATTCTTCTCATTTGGATTTCTCTTCCTCCAAATATCTTCCAAATTAATCTCTTGTATTAGATCAAAAAAGGGTTTTGGTAGAATTCTCTTTTCTCTTCTTCTTAATCTCTTCTGTACTGATATAATCTTTTTTTAACATCAACAGTGGCATTAAAATCCCCTATTAAACAAACATTTTCTTCTCCTACGCTAATTAATTTATCATATAATCTTTTCTCTTTATAGAATTTCTTCTGATTATCATTAGGGGCATATATTCCCACCAATAGTAATTGTTTTTGGTGTGTTAATTTGTATCATTAAAATTCTGCCTTGCTCATCTGCGTAATTTTTTTAAATCCTTTTTTTACATAAATTGCAACCCCCCCTTTTCTTTTGACTGCTAATTCTGTGAATAGTACACCTAACTTGGGGTATTCTAGATATTTTCTATGTTGTTTTTGAATATGTACCTCCTGTAGGCATATAATGTCAACATTTTGCTTAGTTAATTTGGTTAGTATTTGTTTCCTCTTAATCTGGGAGTTTAATCCATTGATGTTTATTGAGAGTAGTTTAATCTGTTCTATTATTAATTCTATGTCTACCTATATCTTCTGTTAGTTCTTGCTTCTCTTTGGGGTCTTGCTCTTAGTCCTTCTCTCCTTGAGTATTCTCTCTTTTCTTTGCCTCTCTCTTCTTGATCCATTTCTTGTATTCCCTGTTGTTGGTCTTCTTGTTGGTCCTCCTGACTCTTGCTTTCCGACTCCTCCCTACT